GGGCCCGCAGCTCTATTTTCTACAGCAGTTTCATTTTGAGAAAATACAACTTTAATATTTAGAAGCCTACAGAAATAAATCCTCACTTTATGACCAATTTTCGGGGGAATTCTATCTCCTCACCTGTACTGAAATCCTAACCCACCTGTCATATTTGAACTTTGTATTTCAATCAATGTGAAAACAGTGTGACTCTCATTCCCACTAATTTTAAAATAGAACTTATGTCAAATATAACTTGTTTAGAAGAGCTGTACTAAAACAGTAAGTACATAAACAACGAACAAGTAACTAGGAGGAAGAGGAGGAGAAGCGGGGTTAGCATCTATCTGCGAAACACTCACACATTCACGTTGTTGCTGTTCTGTGCTGCTGAGTCAATTCTGACTCATCGCAACCCTACAGGACAGAGCAGAACTGCCCCACGGAGTTCCTTAGGCAGTAATCTTTACAAGAACACACCACCAGGTCCTTCTCCTGCGAAGCTGCTGGCATCTACAAACCAGTGACACTGCGGAACCTTTCGGGTATTAGCCGAGCACTTAACCACTGCAACACCAGGGCTGCTTAACCCCAAAGGTAGAGACCTTTTACATACATAATGCCCACAAAGTGCCAGGTACTACTGTAAGTGCTTTACATGTATTAACTCAATTCTCACAACAATTTTATGAGGTGGTACAGCAGGTGCTTTCTTTGTCTCTCTGTCTGAAGGCAATCTGTCCATAAAGTAAGTTCCATCTGCCCACAGAGCAAGCTAGAAGTGCCAAGGAATTAACACTCCAAGAGTGGGTAGAAAAAATAACCCAGCTTCCTCACCCATTAAACAAATAAAAACCATAACCTGTTGCCGTGGAGTCGATTCCAATTCAGGGAGACCCTATGTGTTAGAGAGGAGAACTGTCGTACAGGGTATTCTGAGCTGTAATCTGGACAGAAGCAGAGTGGCAGGTTTTTCTTCCGCAGTGCGACCAAGTGGGTTAGGACAGCCAGCCTTTAGGTTAGTAGAGAGTACAGACCATTTTCGACAACCTGGGACCTCTTCCTCACCTATTAAGGTACAATTATAAAGGTGGTCCACTCAAGTCTCTCAGGAAGTCCCCAGCTGGGACACCAAGCCACAAAAATAAAATGAAATACTGTCTTCAAATGAAGAACACCAAGGACACAAGGAAAGTATTAACCCAAGAGACAGAAATGGCCACATAAATCAGAGACGTCATCAGCCCGAGACCAGAAGAACTAGATGGTGCCCGGCTACCACCAATGACTGCCCTGACAGGGACTACAATAGAGAGTCCCTGATGGAGCAGGAGAAAAGTGGGGTGCAGACCTCAAATTCTAGTAAAAAGTCCAGACTTAATGGTCTGACTGAGACTGGAGGGACCCCGGGAGCTCTCTGTCAACCCAGCACTAAAACCATTCCCGAGGCCAGACTGGACTATGTCACATAAAGTGATACTTGTGAAGAATGTGCTTCTTATTAGCTCAAGTAGATACATGAGACTGAATGG